ATCCGTCCACCCAGAGAGCCGTGACAGGCATCCAGGCTGGGAGACAACCGGGGCCAAATAAAGGGAGACAAAGGGAGACAAATGAATCTGTCAGGCAAATGAAGGGAGAGGAACCCGTCCGCCGGGAGAGCCGGGACAACCCCAGGTGCCAAGAGCACCACTGGGTATCTCGGCGTAGGTTCGTTGAACATCATCAAAGAATCGATAGACGATTTAACTCCAGCGTGATTCACGTTTGTTTCACCGGGGGGTTAACAGAGCCTTCTCGTAGCTGAAGCCGTGCACCGCAGCGCACCGCTCTCGTCAGCTCGGGACTCCAAATGCGAGCAAGGACAGAGAGAGGCCGCAACTGATAACGAGGCACTGAACGAACAGACAGGGTGTAGCCAACGATAGACAAGGAAGACGACCCACCACGAGCCCAAGCAAAATCGAAGTCCAGATGAAGGGCAGACAGAGGACCCTGTCCCCAACATCCACAAGACAAGGAATGACCGAAGCCAGGGCCAAAGCCGAAGGCAAACCAGACCCCGCCAAAAGGACAGAACCGCGGGAAGTGAAGGAAACCGCGGAGCGTGAGTGCCACACATCCAGGCTGGGAGACAACGGGAGACAAATGAATCCGTCCACCCAGAGGGGCATCCAGGCTGGGAGACAACGGGAGACAAACAAAGGGAGACAAAGGGAGACAAATGAATCCGTCCACCCAGAGAGGCATCCAGGCTGGGAGACAACGGGAGACAAATAAAGGGAGACAAAGGGAGACAAATCAATCCGTCCACCCACAGAGATGGGAGACAAATGAAGGGGAACCAAGGGAGACAAGTGAATCCGTCCGCCTGGAGAGCCGTGACAGACATCCAGGCTGGGAGACAAGGGAGCCAAATGAAGGGAGACAAAGGGAGACAAGTGAAACTGTCCACCCAAAGAGCCGTGCCAGGCATCCAGGCTGGGAGACAACGGGAGACAAATGAAGGGAGACAAAGGGAGACAAGTGAATCTGTCCGCCTGGAGAGCCGTGCCAGACATCCAGGCTGGGAGACAACGGGAGACAAATGAAGGGAAACAACCACCCAGAGAGCCGTGCCAGGCATCCAGGCTGGGAGGCAACGGGAGACAAATGAAGGGAGACAAAGGGTGACAAATGAACCCGTCCACCCAGAGAGCCGTGCCAGGCATCCAGGCTGGGAGACAACGGGAGACAAATGAAGGGAGACAAAGGGAGACAAATGAACCCCTCCACCCCAGAGAGCCGTGACAGGCGTCCAGGCTGGGAGACAACCGGGGCCAAATAAAGGGAGACAAAGGGAGACAAATCAATCCGTCAGGCAAATGGAGGGAGAGGGAGACAAATGAACCCGTCCGCCGGGAGAGCCGGGACAACCCCAGGTGCCAAGAGCACCACTGGGTATCTCGGCGTAGGTTCGTTGAACATCATCAAAGAATCGATAGACGATTTAACTCCAGCGTGATTCACGTTTGTTTCACCGGGGGGTTAACAGAGCCTTCTCGTAGCTGAAGCCGTGCACCGCAGCGCACCGCTCTCGTCAGCTCGGGACCGCAACTGATAACGAGGCACTGAACGAACAGACAGGGTGTAGCCAACGATAGACAAGGAAGACGACCCACCACGAGCCCAAGCGAAATCGAAGTCCAGATGAAGGGCAGACAGAGGAGGACCCTGTCCCCAACATCCACAAGACAAGGAATGACCGAAGCCAGGGCCAAAGCCGAAGGCAAACCAGACCCCGCCAAAAGGACAGAACCGCGGGAAGTGAAGGAAACCGCGGAGCGTGAGTGCCACACATCCAGGCTGGGAGACAACGGGAGACAAATGAATCCGTCCACCCAGAGAGCCGTGCCAGGCATCCAGGCTGGGAGACAACGGGAGACAAATAAAGGGAGACAAAGGGAAACAAATGAATCCGTCCACCCACAGAGATGGGAGACAAATGAAGGGGAACCAAGGGAGACAAGTGAATCCGTCCGCCTGGAGAGCCGTGACAGACATCCAGGCTGGGAGACAACAGGAGCCAAATGAAGGGAGACAAAGGGAGAAAAGTGAATCTGTCCACCAAAAAAACAGTGCCAGGCATCCAGGCTGGGAGACAACGGGAGACAAATGAAGGGAAACAAAGGGGTGCCAGACATCCTGGGAGACAAAGGTAGACAAATGAACCCGTCCACCCAGAGAGCCGCGCCAGGCATCCAGGCTGGGAGACAACGGGAGACAAATGAAGGGAGACAAAGGGAGACAAATGAACCCGTCCACCCAGAGAGCCGTGCCAGGCATCCAGGCTGGGAGACAACGGGAGAAATCAAGGGAGACAAAGGGAGACAAATGAACCCGTCCACCCAGAGAGCCGTGCCAGGCATCCAGGCTGGGAGAGAACGGGAGACAAATGAAGGGGACAAAGGGAGACACATGAACCCGTCCACCCAGAGAGCCGTGCCAGATCCAGGCTGGGAGACAACGGGCGACAAATGAAGGGAGACAAAGGGAGACAAGTGAATCTGTCCACCCAGGCATCCAGGCTGGGAGACAACGGGAGACAAATGAAGGGAGACAAAGGGAGACAAATGAACCCGAGCCGCGCCAGGCATCCAGGCTGGGAGACAAATGAAGGGAGACAAAGGGAGACAAATGAACCCGTCCACCCAGAGAGCCGTGCCAGGCATCCAGGCTGGGAGACAACGGGAGACAAATGACAAAGGGAGACAAATGAACCCGTCCACCCAGACTGGATCATCCAGGCTGGGAGACAACGGGAGACAAATGAAGGGAGACAAAGGGACACAAGTGAACCCAGGGAGACAAACGAACGCGTCCACCCAGAGAGCCGTGCCAGGCATCCAGGCTGGGAGACAACGGGAGACAAATGAAGGGAGACACAGGGAGACAAATGAACCCGTCCACCCAGAGAGCTGTGCCAGGCATCCAGGCTAGGGCTTGGCAACAGGCGAGCCACCTTAAATGAATTTAGAACCCCTCACAGTAAACTGTTTGGGGAAAAACAAGTCCCCCCCAAAAAAAAAAGAAAAAGAAGAACAACACGAACCCAATTGTCCGTCTTTTTGGGGGGGACCACCTTTTGAGGGGAAACCACAAAGGACGCAGTTTGCGCCACCACAACGAGCGCCCCATCGATGGGGCGTGCCTGGAAGCGGCTGGGCTCTTTTGCCTGAGCTGTGCCCAGCAGCCCGGGCCTAAGGATGCGTCGACGACCCAAAGTTGGTGCGGGGATGAAGTGGCCGTTGAAGGGAAACCTCCCAGGAAACACTTGCCTTTGTCGTTGTTGTTTTTTCTTCACTCCGGTTGGGGAGGGGAGGACTTGCCTTTGTCGTTGTTTTTTTCTTACATGTATATTATTTTGTTCTTTTTTCCTGCAGGGGGGGGGGGGGGGAGGACTTGCCTTTCTCGTTGTTTTTACATGTTTATTCTTTTTGTTCGGGGGGGGGGGGAGGACTTGCCTTTGTGGTTGTTTTGTTTGTTTCTTGTTGGGGCGGTGGGTGCAATTTTGGAATGGGAACTCATTGTTTTGTTGCTTATTACTTATGTTTCTTTCTTTTTTTCTGGGGGAGGGGGGAGGCAATTGTGGAATGGACACCAAGAACAAGAAAAGAAAAATCGGAATGGGCCGAAAGGAAACTTAAAGGAACCATTGTCTTTATGGGTGATGAAGGAGACACCAAAAGAAAGCACTGTGAGCTTTTGGTGCCGAACTTGCTGCATGTCTATCAGTCAGCACCCTGTTCCTTCAAAACAAGTGTCCTATGCCCCCAAAAGGGGCCCCCCACCCAATAGCCTTGTGTGCCAAAGAAGGTCTATTGGGACCCATTTTGGGAAACTCCACTGTTGGGCCTTGACAACAGGAAACCAAAGAACAAACCATCAGCCTAGGGAGATGGTCTGGTCAGTGGTCATGGCTCCAAGTGGAATCCTGACAAATTGGTGCGCTGCTTTTATTAAGGGTCCATCACCGCTACCAACCGCAAAGGAAAAAAACATGGCATACCCAGATCCCGGAGGAGTTTCATAGAGCAAGGCACACCCTTCGTCTTGGAAAACCAGTCCCAAACAAGAAGAAAACAACCAACGCCACTGGGTGCCTGGGTTGCTTGTTGCCCATCAACACCTCTTGTGGCGACGCAGGTTTCGAACCGCCAGCAGTGAGGTCCTTATCCTACTTCCCCATTTGTGTGCCGAAAAAAGTGAAAAGGGGTGGGTTTGTTCAAGAGGATTCAGTGGTTCTACCTGGGCCAGGCAGTTCAATAAGGACCAAACCAAGGAAGCTGAACAGTGGATCCTTGGCAGGCCACTATAGTAGGTAACCCTTCATCAGTGAAGATGGTTGCCTAAGTTGCCTACTCCTTGGAAGATTCTCCTGTTTCAAAGCGTACCAGATGGTATAAACTAACCAAGTCTTCGACTCACGTACGTCAACAACAAATGATCAGTGTGCCGTTTTCGAAAAACCGAGTTTAAGGCTGGTTTCAAGCGAACCCACATGTAAAAACACACACATCTCGGGCGTTCCCTGTTTCAAGACCACGCCCTCTCACCGTACCGAATTTTCTCTGCCGACCGAGAGGCACGCCAAGCCCCCGGTTTCTTGGGGTCTGATGTCAACAACTGAGACAAATGTACCATGAAAAACCCGGTTCTTGGGGGAAAGAACACCCTAAACCCCAAGCCATGTGGCGAAATGGCTTGCACAAGACCTGTTTGCTGGGGAGTGGGGCCACACACATACACACACACACACACACACACACATCCTTCTGCGCGGTCCCTCTTTTTTTCCTGCTTCACTGGCATGAGCCGACACCACATGACCGAGAAGGTGAAGAGCTACCGAGCTACTTGATGGACTTCCGAACGCCATATCTTCCGACTGCCGCAAGGTCTACTCGAGACGCATCGAGATGTGAGGGGACTCAACGAGTCTGAGTCCCGCTACATATCTTGTTGGACCTAACTGCGGGAAGGAAGGCTCAGCTCAATCTTGCGAGGCTTTTTGGTCGCAGAGAACCTTGGCTTCTTCCGGCGCCCTCAGTTCCAGGGTCAACGCGGTGAGCAATGGCCTCAGCTCCTCCAGCGAGTCCGTCGTCGTTTTGTTGGATTCTTGGGGGGTACCCTTTGCGAGGTTGCTAGAAAAGAGAACTCAAAAGGCCATGTTGGGGGGTCCAAATCGCTGCTTTGACACATAGCCATGTGGGGGGTGCCAAATGACGGACCCTCGGCGGCTTTTGCTTGAGAGGCGACTTCTGCTGTCCCCAGCTGCCGCAAAAAGAGCCCATGTCACAGGGGGGGACCCCAAGTTTCCCTTTGGACCCACCCCAAGAAGAGGTACCTTCAAAAAGTCACCCATGCTGCGGAGGGAGGAAATCCTGCACCACCTACAAAACCCTGGAATATTGAGTCCCTTGTAGATAGCAACAAACAATGGTGTCCCATGGTTTCCAAGTGGTGCGAAATGAATTTCGTCCATCCACAGTATGCCATCAGGGTCTTAAAGCCGTGCTTGACAACCCCATGACTGCTGGTCCCTATTGGTGAGAAATCTTTCATGTTTCTGCTTTTCTGTTACAACAATTCCAACACCTGAAACCAGAGTTGGATCCAAGAAATCCCCATCATCCCAGTCTTACTGGCCTCATTATCACACCATGATCAAAGTCACCCCCTAAGTGGTGGGTTCAAGGCAAACAACCACATTTTCTGACTTCGATAACCCCCCAGAAACCGTCAAAATAATGACCCCAGTCATGACCAGACCATCATGCAAGCTGATGTCCACTGCCAGCCGTTGGGCGTCCACCTCATGTCTCACATGGCCGCCCTGGACCTTTCGAGACCTCACATGACCCTGACTCAAAAAAGGTAAGTGGAAGATCGTGGGTGCCCGCGTGTTTTTCTTTTGAACAAAAAACACCGAGCTGTTGGGTTGATTCGCTGGAAACCGCAAAAACTGTCTGGGCCTTGACTTACATGAGGAGTTGCGACCCAAGGAGAGCCCACTCACTCATGGATGTGGATCCCTCCTTCTAGATTGAATAGGATGAGGTCATGTTTGGTTGGCAAAACCCAGCTCTGCGACTAGAGGGCAACTTGTTGAAACAAACTTGGAGCGGAAGAACAAAGGAAAACACACGCGATGTTCTACCCTTGTTCGGTCATTTGCTGGAGGAGGCCGAGATTCTGATGGTCGCACACAGGCTTGCTTCTTGCCAGAATCAGGACCTCCCCCCCCGCCAAAAGAAGAAACAAGCACACAAACACATTCCAAAAGCGGTATAAAGTTTCATCAGAAGCACGAGAATTTGCGAGCTGCCGAGCACACAAATGCCTATGGGTCAAAACCCCGTGCCCCTAGTGAACATCTCAATCCAACCACTAAAATAGGCTCTAAAATAGGTGGTGAATTCACCTACCCCAAAACAGGAATCCTTACATTATACACCTGAACATTGCAACTTGTAAATGGTGGTGTCCCTTTATTTTGGTGTTGAAAAAGCCACCTGTTTCACATGGTGGTAAAAAATGGTGATCTTTTAAGGAGCCCTGCAACATAGGTCCCAAAATAGGTGGTGAATTCACCTACCCGGATCCCATTCGTGTTGACGGCCCCTTGGCTGCGGCGAACCCGCGCAGCGAAGCGAAGCGCGAAGCGAAGCGCGAAGCGAAGCGCGAAGCCGCGCTCCTCACAGCTCCGAGCACCGCGGCCCACGCCGCTGTCGACGAGGCACTGGACGGTGCTGTCGTGCAAGGTGCCGCCCAAGACCTCCTGAGATGGGGGGGTTCTTGGGGTTTCTTGGAGGCGGAATGCAGTGATCCGGATGCGTTATGAAAACCCCTGCTTTGATAAACCTAGGGTTTCGTGGGGTTTCTCAGATGCGGAATGCTGTGCCCCGGATGTTTTATGAACCCCCTTGATAAACCTAGGGATAAAGCTAGGGTGTGATATAAACCCCTAGGCAACAGTACACCAAAACCTCCGGATGTTCAGTCGTGCCGCATTTCACCCACCTTTGTGTGTGACATCTTTGCTGAGATCCCAGGTTTGGTTACCATTCTTCGCCAAAAAACCACTCCGATCCACCCCAATGCCCAAAGAAGGAGTGGGAAAACCGAAGTGGCTCTTGGACACAACCCCTGCCCTTGCGTGAAACTCGAGTGGGGCTACCGAAAGGGAGTTCCATATGGCCATGGGCTTTTCAAAATCCAAATCGTACCCCCAGTGAACATCCCAATCCAACCACTAAAATAGGTTCTAAAATGGGTGGTGAATTCACCTACAAACCAACATGGTACCATTGGTTTTGACCCACAGCCATATCATGTTTGGGCTGCCATTTTCCGAAGAGGTGTAGATCCCTGAAAAGAATTATCCGTTGCGTTGTTGGCGTCTTCTTCATGTCCTTTCAAACAACCAGCGACAAAATAATCATGCGGAGAATCGTGGGGGAAAAAAGCAACGGGGCGCATTGCATCCTTGGTCCTCCCTGGGTGGTTTACACATCACCTGTTGGTGACCAATTTCAGGGAGCTTGTTTTCGGGTGTTGGATGTATCAAGACGGATTAATAGCACACCGTTTTGACAAGTCCAGATCACTCCAAAATGGGTTGGCAACCAGGGGTTATCAATCCTGGGTTCGCATTCAAGGGGCATGTAAGGAATTCAGACCCTCTTTTTTACCTCCTTCTGCTAGATGGTATGTTTCAAGGGGCAAAAGCAGCAAGCCACAAGCCACCTTTATGCCGAAGGCGGTCCCTGGGTGGTTGGATTCCTTTCCAGGAGAGTCATAATCAAAACCCGGTACAAAAATGGTCTGTAAAGAGTTAAGAAGGCGGATTCCCGCAGCTATCCGCCGACAACAAGGCGGCGTGTTGGACATAAGAAATGCTCCTAACCTCTTTACCTGTTACCCCTCCCCCAGGCGCACGGTTTCGGACTATTGCGGGGTCCGCGTACCGCGCGGTGATTCCAAGACGTTCCACTAATTCCGTAAAAACATTGGGGTGTTCGATTCCCCCCACGTCCGCCTTTGCATCCTTAGCACCTCCCGGGCAACATCGCCAGCATCACCTGATCCGCACCAGCGCCTGCCAAGGATGCGGATGATGCAAGTGATGCTGGGGATGGTGCCCATGCTGGTGAAGGAATAACATGAAGTGAAATAAAAGAAAGGGAACAAAAACAGATACAAAGGGGCAAGAACCGAAGTGAAGGAAAGTGAAGGGAAATGAACATCTTCGAAGAAGGGGGGAAAAATGTTCTTGGGGAAGAACTGGGGAGAAGATTGGGGGGGGGGGGGGAAGGGAAAGATCTTGGGGGACGAAGGCCTCAGGGGGGAAAGGGGGGAAAGGATCTCAACGGGGAAAGGGGGAAAAGATCTTACCGAGGAAAAGGGAGAAGATCTCAGGGGGGGGAAAGGCCTTAGTCGAAAAGGATCTCAACAGGGAAAGGGGGGGAAAGATCTTAGGGAAGAAAGGCAGAAGATCTGGGGAAAAACGGCCTTAGGCTCAACAGGGAAAGGGGTGGAAAAGATCTTAGGGAGGAAAGGGAGAAGATCCGGGGGAAAAAAGGCCAACAGGGAAAGGGGGGAAAAGATCTTAGGAAGGAAAAGGGAGAAGCTCTCAGGGGGGGAAAGGCCTTAGGGGGGAAAGGGTGGGAAGGATCTCAACAGGGAAAGGTGGGAAAAGACCTTAGGGAGGAAAAGGGAGAAAATCTCGGGGGGGAAAGGCCTTAGGGGGAAGGGGGGAAAAGATCTCAACAGGGAAAGGGGGCAAAGGGTCTTAGGGAGGAAAAGGGAGAAGATCTCAGCGCGGGGAGGCCTTAGGGGGAAGGGGGGGAAGGGGGGAAAGGATCTCAACAGGGAAAGGGGGGGGAAGATCTCAGGGAGGAAAGGGAGAAGATCTGGGGAAAAGATGCCTTAGGGGGGAAAGGGGGGAAAAGATCTTTGGGAGGAAAAGGGAAATCTTTCTCGGGGGGAAAAGGCCCTAGGGGGCAATGGGGGGAAAGCATCTCAAACGGGAAAGGGGGGAAAAGATTTCAGGGAAAGATCTTGGGGGGAAAAGGCCTTAGGGGGGAAACGGGGGAAAGGATCTTAAGCGGGAAAGGGCGGAAAAGATCTTGGGGAGGAAAAGGGAGAAGATCTCAGCGGGGGAAAGGCCTTAGGGGGGAAAGGGGGGACAGGATCTCAACAGGGAAAGGGGGGGAAAGATCTTAGGGAGGAAAAGGGACAAGATCTTCGGGGGGACAAGGCCTTAGGGGGGAAAGGGGGGAAAGGATCTCAACAGGGAAAGGGGGGAAAACATTTTAGGGAGGAAAAGGGAGATGATCTCAGGGGGGGGAAAAGGCCTTAAGATCTCAAAGGAAAAAAAGGCCTTAGGGGGGAAAGGGGGAAAGGATCTCAACAGGGAAAGGGGGCAAAGGATCTTAAGGAGGAAAAGGGAGAAGATCTGAAAAGGCCTTGGGGGGGAAAGGGGGGGAAAGGATCTCAACAGGGACAGGGAGAAAAGATCCTAGGGAGGAAAAGGGAGAAGATCTCGGGGGGAAAGGAGGAAGGCTCTCATCCGGGGGAAAAGATCTTGGGGAGGAAAAGGGAGAAGATCTCAGGGGGGGAAACGCCTTAGGGGGGAAAGGGGGCAAAGGATCTCAACCGGGAAAGGGGGAAAAGATCTTACCGAGGAAAAGGGAGAAGATCTCAGGGGGGGAAAGGCCTTAGGGGGAATGGGGAAAGCATCTCAGCAGGGAAAGGGGGGGGAAAGATCTTAGGGAGGAAAGGGAGAAGATCTGGGGGCAACGGCCTTAGGGGGGAAAGAGGAGAAATGATCTCAACAGGGAAAGGGGTGGAAAAGTTCTTAGGGAGGAAAGGGAGAAGATCTGGGGGAAAAAAGGCCAACAGGGAAAGGGGGGGGAAGATCTTAGGAAGGAACTGGGAGAAGCTCTCAGGGGGGGAAAGGCCTTAGGAGGGGAAGGGTGGGAAGGATCTCAACAGGGAAAGGGGGGAAAAATATTAGGCAGGAAAAGGGAGAAGATCTGGAAAGGCCTTAGGGGGACGGGGGGAAAGGATCTCAACAGGGAAAGGGGGCAAAGGATCTTAGGGAGGAATAGGGAGAAGATCTCAGCGGGGAAAGGCCTTAGGGGGGGAAGGGGGGACAGGATCTCAACAGGGAAAGGGGGGGGAAAGATCTCAGGGAGAAAAGGGAAAAGATCTCAAGGGGGGGAAAAGGCTTTAGGGAAAGGGGGGAACGGATCTCAACAGGGAGAGGGGGGAAAACATCTTAGGGAGGAAAAGGGAAAAATATCAGAGGGAGAAAGGGCCTTAGGGGGGAAAGGGGGGACAGGATCTCAACAGGGAAAGGGGGGGAAAGATCTCAGGGAGGAAAGGGAAAAGATCTCAGGGGGGGAAAGGCCTTAGGGGGGAAAGGGGGGAACGGATCTCAACAGGGAGAGGGGGGAAAACATCTTAGGGAGGAAAAGGGAAAAAATCTCAGAGGGAGAAAGGGCCTTAGGGGGGAAAGGGGGGACAGGATCTCAACAGGGAAAGGGGGGGAAAGATCTCAGGGAGGAAAGGGAAAAGATCTCAGGGGGGGAAAAGGCCTTAGGGGGGAAAGGGGGGAACGGATCTCAACAGTTAGGGAGGAAAAGGGAAAAAATCTCAGAGGGAGAAAGGGCCTTAGGGGGGAAAGGGGGAATGGATCTCAACAGGGAAAGGGGGGCAAAAATCTTAGAGGGGAAGGGGGGCAAGGGGACAATTCCAAAGGGACGCAAATAAGAAAGCAGGCCTGTAATGTCGGCGGCCTGAGCCGGAGGCGTTAAAATTTATGGCAAGTTGTCCCTTACTCACCTTCATCTACCCGAATCGGTTTTGAGCAAGTGGCTCAGGAAGACATCTTGGGACCCTTCGATTTGCGATCAAGTGGGTGCCACTACCTCAGAGCAAAACCTGCGCGCGCCCGCACCTCACTTCCTGAGACTGGCCCAAACAAAAGTCTCTCAGCTTGATGTTTTCGACTCAAAACGGTCCAAACAGGGTTTGAAGTCCAGGAACGTTTCTTGTTTTCCGCTGAAAACGGTCCAAACCCAAAAAGGGTTTGACGTCCAGGAACGGGTTTACACTCAAAATGGTCCAAACCCAAACAGGGTGCGCGTTTGAGTGCTTCGATGTTTGCTTGTCATCCTCATTGCTCCCCCCAAATGAGGACACCCATGGAACGAGGAATAACAAACACCATCTGGTGCTGCTCGGGGCGTGCTGTTGATGGGGGGGGTCTGGTAATGCTGAGGATGCACAAAAGCCAAAAACCAGCCCGGAGAAGAAACGGATACAAACCCAAAATCCCGCAAATTCGCCCATGAAAACAATATCTTCTGAGGATCCAAAGTGCCTTCCAAACCCAAGCAAACGTTATTTAAAAAAAGGAAAAAACAAACTATTGCCCCGTCCTTTTGCCCAGCTGCCCTTTAAGCAACACCGAAACCACGACTTCGCCAGACTTCGCCCGACTTCTCCCCCGGCCCCTCGTCTGCCGAAGGCGCCAAGCAGCCCATCATGGCCTCGGCCAGCTCCAGGTCGCGACAGTCCAGCGCACAGAGGACGAAGCAGGTGGCACACTCCTGGCCAAAATTGGGCGGGGAAGCTGAGATTTCCAGGTCCACAGAAAAGGTCCGGTTTTCCTGTGGCTGCTTTCTTGATTCCCCTTTTTCAAACTCAAGCAAAGAGGGCTTCGCATTGTTCTCCCATGTCAGTTTGCGCTTCAAAAACCTTGGTTTCCAGGCGGTTTACCTCAAAACTTCTAGGTATCTATGGTTCCCTACTACTTCCGCCGGGTTTTCAACTTGAAATCCAAGCCAAAAGCGGCTTGCCGGACCAAAGGCCGGGTCTTTCGGCTTTTAGTCGAAACCACCAGGTGATTGAGGCGTCTTGCGTCCATTTGTTAGCCAAATACAAACAAAGCTGAACACCACCGGAGCGCTGTTGAACTTCGTGGCCCTCCGAATTGTGTGTTTCGCGATGTAAAGGGCTTGCCAACAAGGAGTCCATGACCTGGATTTTTCATTGGAGACCAAGAGGCAAAAAGAGAAGGTGCAGTCTTTTAGGTTCCTCGGAACCCAAACGTAGCTTCAAGCAATGCGTCTTTGTTTGGCATGACATGTTCATTTACGCCGCCTCATAGGGTGCCACCATGAAGCCTGCGATAGCCCTGGCAGGCATTCACATCCCGTGTAACTGGGAAAATGAAGATTCCAGGTACAGAACTGGGCGCCAACTTGCCAATCCCCTATATTGACATGCCGGGTGCTTCAACGGCACAAAAAATGATGCTTTGCACCCCGCCACAAAAGCATGACAAGTTGAAAAGTCTGAATTTGATTTCGGACAAATCCTCAGAGGCCACTGGGAGGCTTAATCGCTAATCGCTCGATTTACCCCCTGCTCGTCTCAAATATCTTGAGAAGGGGTTAACTACCCTGTGGGCAGCGTAGCAACCCAACCCTGTGGCCTCGCGATCTCGTCTGGGCAGAAACATGGCCAGAGATGAGGTGTGTGGATTCCCAGTACGGCTGCTTCATTGCTTTGGGATCCCTTGGCCACTCACAGAGAGTTGCAGGCAGTATTAACTGCTTCTCCATAAGGAAAGAGGCGAGTTCTTCGAAGGTGAAAAACTCCGGGCAAAAATGACAACACAGAACTGGATCTTCCGCATGCGTCGGTTTGCCTTCAACTAGGGACATCCCAAGCTGGTCCACACGCATCGCTTCGTCTTCAAATAGGGACATCCTCTCAGCTGGTTTCCTTCTGGCTTCCCAATCAAAAACTGGCGTTTTCCAGCCACGAAAACGTCCATTTGCTTTTTCGCCCCCTGGAAAAAAATGTGCTCCAGTAGTGAAATCGATTCCCTGTAAAACAAACAGGGGGAGAATCAAAAACTATTCTTGAGCAAATGGAAATCACAGAAAGGGGCAACCTAAAGCCCAATTCTGCACCCACCATGTCCTTGACAAGCAAATGGAAGAAAATCGATTTCCCTTTAAAATCAACAGGGCGAAATCTTAAAAAAATATTCACTTCAGCGGAGGAACAATACTAGGTCCTCCAGGTGAGAGATTAGAAAAAGGGTGCCCTTTTTTCTGCAAACTATGTTAGTAGGGGAACCCTCCCCCCCCCCAAAAAGAAAAAAAAAAGGTTTTCAGGGCACCAATTGCCGGGGGCCCCTTTTTGGTGGCTCGCTCGCTTTCGCCTGGAACTTCTCCACGTCCACCCGGGACCCGAAGAGCGCCTTGGGCGCCGTGCCCGCCGCCAACTTCTCCAAGGCCGCCGAGGTGATCTCCAGCAGACGGCTCCGCAGCAGGGGGTCCTCCCCGGAAGTCGGCGGCGCAGGAGTCAGGGCTGGGTCAGCCAAACGCCTTCCCAGCAAAACCGGACCCAAAAGGAACCAGTTCTTTAGCGAAAACGCAACTTTATCCTCTCAGTTGTTCTCTTTTCTCGGGTGGTTTGTTCTGTTTTCGCCGTTCTGTCCTTTAGCGCGGAGGGCTTCTGAGTGGTGCGCGCACAGCGTGAGCGGTGCGGCGCAGCACTGTTCGAGTCCAGCTGCGTTGTGCAGCAACGAGGGGGGATGGGTGTAGACCCATCTGCCTTCGGAAGCATTCCACAGGCGTGGGCCCGAGATGTCCAAACTAAGTTACATGTCTGTGACAGACAGAATTGCAGCATATCGCTGCACCAACATTAACGACATCAGTCATAGTTGTAGACAGATGCACACAGAGCATGTTGCTCAAAAACAAGTCATTCCAAGTCCTGCCAAGCTGTGCGTAGGCAGGGACCAAGCGCTTTGCTACCCTGAAATGTAAAAAGTGGGAAAAGCACGGAGGTGCACCCGGGGGCTCAAGGTCTGGTGTAGGCCGCGAGGATGCTGCCAATTGTACGATCCAGGAAGGAGCCAAGGGCAGAACTAGAACAGAACCTATCGGTCGGAAGCCGTGGTGGCCTCATGCCTAAGTGCGGCAAGCTTGCGCTTGCGTTCCATGGTTGTGCCTTGTAGTTGAAGTTGCCGGCAGCGAAAGTGCTGCCGTAGCCACAATCGAGTTGCGCAGAGTCTGTGTGAAGCGCCACCCCGTTGTTGCCACGATGTCGCCAGCAATGAGTAGGGCTCCACGACCTGATGCTCCCAGCTTCGTCAAGGAGTTCCACACGCAAGTGAGAAGACGAGTGCTTCCGCGCCGATGCAGCGAAAATCCACCAGAGCTGCAGCGAATCACTGTTCAACTGGACCTTGGAGACGAAGTCTCTGACCAGGACAGAGAGCTGTATAGACACGAGGAACCCAAGGAAAAAGCACCATCCGTGAGCAATGACGATCCCAATGCAGCACCATCCAGCGAGAGGAGGGAAACGAAACATGGCGATTTCCATGGCGTAAGTCAAAGGAGCTCCCAAACATCAGCTGACACAGGTTCACCATCTGGTAGGATTTGGGCCGAGACCTCGTTCTGTCCTTTAAAGGCTCCTGAAAGACGCTCCTGGTACGGCTCCTTATAAGGCTCCAAAAAAAACCTCTTCATAAGACTCCTTCAGCTGATTTTAAAGACTCCTCTAGGAAGCTCCTGAAAGCCTGCTGGTACAATTCCTGGAAGATGGCTCAATATAAGGCTTCTTAGGCTCCCTGAAAGCCTGCTTATAAGGCTCCCTTGTAAGGCTCCTCATGAAGCTCCTCTGGAAGCTCCGCTTGTGAAGCTCCTGTCAGGCTCCTCATAAGGCTCCGGTACCAAGTTGGATTCTAGATAAAGTTTAATTGGAACTTGTGGCTAGAAGTTAATAAGGAAAGAGCTCAATTGGAGTTTCTATTTTGAATGGTAATTTAGAGGGGAATTCCTTTCCACATATGATGTGAAATTGGCATTGACTAGTAGAAGATACGTAGAGTTTAATACGGAATGAGTACCAATAGACTTCTATCGTCAGATAGGACTTAAATGAAACATCAA